ACACATATTATGGGGGTGGAAAACTTTGCATCAATTTAAAGATACAAAATTGGGCTTTCAAGGAGATTTCAGGTTTGTGGCGGGCTGCTTTCGTCCATGCTCTCAGACCCTGAGGGAACATTTAGATTTTCATTTCTGCCATGAGGCAATATCTACAAGTTACACCCTTTATACAGGGGTGAGCAGTTCATTTGAGATTTGGAAATACACAAGTGACTCCTTAGCTGTGGGAGGCAAGTTAGTTAATCCCTCTAAGCCTTGATTTCCTCATCAGGGGAACAAGTGTACACTGAGTTTTTAATCTTCTTGGGAGATTACATGCCTAACTAAAGATTTTAGCACAGTTCTGGGCCCAATATATACTATTATTCTTAGAATTATAGCAGATATATAATTTGATTTGAAAACCAAGATCCCTTATTCAATGTGCGGGGGTCTTAAAGTCATTGGAAGATGTTATATTCTACAGGGTGGTGTGTAGTTAATCTCTTTTTTAGGAACGTGCCAGGTATTTATCAACAAAACAGATGAATTTATTTAATTGTCACTTTTAGAAGAGTATGTAACAGTTTTGGTGAATTGATTTTGACAAGGATGCCAAGACTATTCAATGAGGAAAGTAGTCTTTTTTTTTTTTTTTAAGATTTATTTATTTATTTATTTATACAAGCACTGGGTACAGTCAGAAGCGCGGGAGGGTGAGAGAATTCACCAGAGCCAGAGTGGGGAGCAGAGCAGGTAGAAGGACCGAAGTACACTGCTGAGGGGAGCAGCGGGCGGCAGGAGAGATCTGCGTGCCATGGGGGACCCTCCTCCGGTGGCCGGGGAGCAGCCGGGGATCGAACCGGCACTGCAGAGGCTGCAGGCAGCTTCGCAACCCAGCGCTCAACCTCTGCGCCACCGGGGAGGCCCGGAAAGTAGTCTTTTTAACAAATGATTCTGAGACAAATACCCACATGCAAGATAATGACATTGGACTTCTCATACCATCTCAAAAATGAATGCAAGATGTATCATAGACTTAAATGTAAGAGCTAAAACTAGAAAAGTAGCTATTGAGTAAACCTTCATGGTCTTAGATAGAAGATCATGAAATATGCTATGAAATAATAGAAAAAAATCTATATTGGATTCAGCCCATGATGCTAGCACAGAACTTCAAAAACTCTTCTAATTACCTAAGTGATAAGAACACTAGGAGTATCTTTTGTTCTAAAGTTTGGTTTTTGATCCTGATTCCTGATACAGAACTCCTAAAACTGGTAGAATTTCCTGGGTGAGAATTTCCTGGCTGACAACAGCATCGTTTGTTCTAGTGAGGTAATGCGTGGTGAGTTTCTGAATGGGGTCTGGTCACCAGAATGACTAAGACATGATTAATAACTTGAAACTTTCATCCCCATTTCTATCTCTTAGCAAGGGAGAGGGTGCTGGAAATTAACAATCAATCATACTTATACAATGAAGTCTTCACAAAAATCAAAAATTAAGGCAATTGGATAACCTCTAGCTTGGTAAACACATCCCCCCAGGATATACCCGAACTGCCTGAGGGAAGAAACTCCTTCACTTGGGATTCTCCCAGATCTTGCCCTATGTATCATTTCATCTGTCTCCTTTATCATCTCTTTTAATAATAAACCAGAAACCACAAGTAAATGTTTCTCTGAGCTGTTTTAGCAAATCATTGAATACAAGGAGAGGATCATGGAATATCCTTTTTATAGCCAGTCTCTCAGAAGCCTGGTACAAGGGGGGCAATCTTGTGTGACTGAGTCCTTAGCTTGCAGAATCTGGCATTATCTCTAGTGAACAGTTTCAGAATGGAATTGACTTGTAGAACACCCAGCTGGTGTTGGAAAATTGTTTAGTGTGGAGAAGCCCACCTTTCACCCCACCTTCACCTCAGAAGTGTTGTGAGTGTGGTAATAGTGTAAAGCTAAGGAGAAAAACACAGGAGGAAGAGTGAGTTTTTCTGACTCAACAATGAACACATAAGTGACCAAACCAAAAAAGATAAATGAGACCACCAAAATTAAGACATTTGTGCTGCAAATTGTACTACCAAGAATATGAAAAGGCAGCACAGAAAATATTTGCAAATCACATATCTGACAAGGGACTTGTATCCATGATAAAGAACACAGAACTCAATGAAAAGACAGCCAAATTTAATAAAGAATCAAGGAAGTGAATAGTCATTTCTCCAAAGAAGATACACATATGAAATGGTGCTCAACACCATTGGTCATTATAGAAATGAAATCAAAACCACGAGTTACCACTTCATAAGAACTGGGAGGACTAAATAAGGGATCAGGAAAAAGACTAATTATAATAAAGTAAAAATCAAAATCAACAAGCAACTATAAACCAGAGACACACTACAGGGGTGGGTTGGGGAGGAGGAAGAAGGATCAAAACAAGGGTGGGGTGGGAATTGTGTCTGGAGTATAACCAAGATGAAAATGCATACATTGTGCAAAAATGAAAAATGACGTAAAAATACATAAACAAAGTCACAAAACAGCAAGTGTTGCTGAGGATGTGGACAGATTTAAACTCTCACACATTGATGAGAGGAATGTAAAATGGCTCAGTCGCTTTGGAAAACAATCTATCGGGTCCTCAAAAACTTAGCATGGTTACCATAAGACCTAGAAATTCTAGCCAAGAGAAATAAAAACATATATCCACTCAAAAACTTGTAAATGAGTGTTTATAACAGCATTATTCATAATACTCAAAAGTGGAAACAGCCCAGATGTCCATCAACAGATCAATGGTTAAACAAAATGTGTATCCAAACAATGGAATATTTTCAGCAATAAAAAAGGATGAGGTACTTATATACACTGCAATATAGATAAACCTTGAAAACAGCATGTTCACTCAAAGAAGTCAGCTACAAAAATCATATATTGTACATTTTTCATTCACATGAATTGTCTAGGATATGCAAATCCAGAGAAAGAGGGTATGTTTGTGGTTGCTGGGGTCTTGGGGGAGAGAAGATTGTAGGGAATGGGAAGTTATTAGTAGATTCAGACTTTCCTTTAGGGGTGATGAAAATATTCTAAATTAGATTGTGGTAGTTGGCTGCACAACCCTCTAACCACATTAAGAAACATTAACTTTTGCACTTAAAAAGAGTGAATTGTGTGGTATATTATATTTCAGTAAGGTTGTTTCTTAAATATAAGACAGAAGAATAAACCCCACACAGATCTAGAATTTAGACTTTACAATCTAGCTACTCGGTGTAGTTTTCTAAAATATAACATATATAATTGATAATTGTTTGGTTTAGTTTAACTATATTTTACAGTGAAGTCTGCAACCCTGTTTGAGCTAATTGGAGACTATTCAGAATTTGAACGGGAAATTAATAACCTGAGTCAAACTTTGATCAAAAAGCATTCTAGTCTACCTGGAAAGTACTATTGGATTTATAAATGCCAACTCCTAGGAATCAGGCTTTCTACTCCTTGCATAAGATAGGTAGGATGCTTTTCAATGAGTCTCCTTTGTATGGGGCAAGTGACATAGTAGGGACTCATGGTTAAAAGTGCAACCTCCTAAGTGAACAACACTATTCCTTGCCATGCTCGAAATTTCTTTGTCAGTTTGTGCCTTCCGTTCAAGTATTGATCGAGGCAGGGCTCTGTGTGGCTTACAAGATGTTAGGTGTTGTCAGGCTGTGATGTTAGAGCTCTAAGGCCACCTACTTTAATGGGCTGACTGTCTTTATGGAGACAGAGGCAGAAGGGCAAGCTGATGGATTAAGGAACAGAAGCACTTGCCTTCAAGAACCCAGAGGCTTAGCTCAAAACCACCATCTCAATGACAAAATAAGTAGTTGTCATTGTACACGACAAGGCTCTATCTTTTAGACAAGTGCTTTTAAGTGATAGACTCGGGGGATGTGCTCTTGACCAATCTATGAGCGTGTGTGTGTGTGTGTGTGTGTGTGTGTGTGCGCGCGCATACAGGTTTCTCCCATTATCTGAAAGCAGAGCATTCCTGTGAAACCATCTATAAGGCAAAAATGGCATAAACCAAAATAATAATTACTATAAATTATATAGAGCATTTTTGAGCATTCCCAGGTCCTAAAAATAACATCAAATCATACCAAATATTGGATCTAAAATAACACTGACATGCATAAAAGCAGGAAGGCTATGATACATACATGGCCTGTCAAAAGTAGATCCTGGGAACAGAGCTTGGTGGGGCCACTCTCGCTGCTCAGGATGTAACCTCCTCTAAACCAGCTGCTGAGAAACTGATGAAAATGCTGCTTTTGTTTTTCGACTTTTGTCGTAAATGTGGATCTCTTCAGGTTTCTTTCAGTTCGTGAAAACAGGTCCTAATGGAGGTCTTTTGTAAAAGGGAAGTGGTATCACCTGGACTTCTTACAAGCAGTGGATACTTGTGGATGAATATGTAATTCATTTGGCAATTAGAAATGCTGCTGTTAGTAATCGTTGTAACTAACATGGTCCCACCTAGAGTAAAAGAACAAATTATTCTGAGTCAGAAAAGCAGGGCTTAAGTCTTAGCAAGGCCAGTCGAAAGCACACCACCTATATCGGACAAGTTGTGAACCCTCCTTTGTCGATTGGTAATGATTTCACCTGTGTTACAGGATCATGCGTGGGCTGCTTGGGCCAAGGTTTGCCACAGCACCTCTGTAAAGTGAAAAGACCTTTGCAGCCATCATGTTGCCTAATTTCCCATGGAGGCTGAAATCTCCTCATTTTTGTAGTTCTATACAAAACAGCTTCTATGGGGCCAAGACCTGACTCTGGTCAGATTTTTTGATTGGCTGGTTGTTTGGGGTGGGGCTTTGCTTGTTGGGAGGTGGAGGTGTTCAAGGCATCCTTCCCTAACTCATCCCTAAGAAGGCTGGGATATGGCTTCCTCAAGGATGCCTGGATGGGCCGTTCATTCATTCACTTACTCATTCATTCATTTAACGTACTGCTTTGCTCTAGGTGCTTGGAATAAATTGTTTGCAGACAAATCCTCTGCTCCCTGGAACTTACATTTCAATGAAGAAGAACCAACAATCAAGAAAATACATAATTTCAGAAAATTGAGGGGCTCTGCAGAAAACAAAACAAGATAAAAGAATTGAAAGTAGGAGGGGAGACTCTCTGCTTTTCTCTTTTTCTTTTGAACAATTTCAAATCTATAGAAAAATTGAAAGAAGAGCTTGCAATGTACATGCATCCTCTCGTCACTTGCACCCACCAACAATGAATGCCTCCCCACCTTTGCTTTCTGCCCCTTCTGCAGGTGTGTGTGTCTTTATACATATGTGTATATACATGTGTAGGTCCTGGGGGCTTGTGCACCAATTAGAGAGTTATAGACAACATGGAACTTTATCTCGGAAGAGTCCAGCAAATATTTTCCAAGAACAGGACTTTCACCGGATTAACCAGGATACGGTGAGTCCCTACAAATATGACACTATACAATAAAATCATTTAATATGGAGTGGAATTCTGATTGTTCTTACTTGTCCCTCTGAAAATCTTTAATAGCTGTTTTCATTGTTGTGTGCTTGTGTGGGAACGTGGTTATGTGAGCGCTGAATCAAGGCTCCTGTGCATATGTGGCTTCTGAGAAAAACCAGAACATCAAGGAAAAAGAAATTCTGTGATGATGTGGTACAAGAGACTCTGGGCATGAAGAGCACAGAGCAGGTAGCCCCTTTTGGAAGCTCAGGTGGCCCACAGGCCTCACCTGGTGTGACCAGGTGCGAGCGCTTTTCCCCAACCCTCAGCTACTGTTCCAGGCCGAATTCAAAATTCTATAAATCTGAAAACTTGATCAGAGTGGCCTTCTCCACAGCTGATACCTTAGTTTTGTCTATCCAGGTGTGTTTGGACAATTCTGTGAATGTTTTCTTATGTGTTTTTTATCTTATCCTTTAAAAAAATGCAAAATGAAATAATAAATGTTCTGAGACTAAAGATATGTAAGTACCATAAGTTTAATGTCGTTTCAACCTGCATTGATGTTATTAATGCCAAAAGCGGTAAATATTATTTGAAGCCAAACAGATCTGTGTTCAATTGAGAGGGAAAAAGAAAATTAAAGATTATATATACAAGGCTGGAAATATGTAATAAAAGACTCCTGAGAAAGTCAGGGGCAGTGAAGAATTACATAGTCAGTTTTAGCTCTTTTGGAACAAAGCACATTCTAAAAAGCATAAGCGCCTATTGTACGATTTTTCAAACATTAGGATTTTTTCACACCTTTCTCAGATTGCCTTTAGTCGGGGTAATTAATACTAACTGCCACAGCAGACAAATCCTGGCATCTCAACATTCCCCAATCAAATTGTTTCTCGCCTGTGTGAAGCCCGACATGGGGGAGCATCCCGGGGTGCGCTCATGCAGAAGAACCACCCAGGTGCATGGCCCCCAAAGCAGCCTTGGAGGCTGGGAGAGAAGAGGGAGGACTCCTGTCGCTCCTTGTTTCAGCCCAGGGGCGTGGGGTGCATCGTCATGGCTCTTGAGGGTTCGCAGGTGCCAGACATTCTCATGACAGGACAGTGTAGGGGAGCACAATTAGTGGACTAAGTGGTAAGAGGCAGAGGTCTCTCCAGAGCGTAGATGTGAGCTGGGGCACTTTCAATAACGAAGTCTTTGGGGACGCCTGATGCAGTTGCCCTGATATTGGGGCTGTGTTTGGAGCAGAAGCAAAGACATTAAAGTTTTGCATGTTTTTAACATTCTTTTCTGGAAACCTTCCTTCTTGTTTCCTCATGGACTCAGGTTTCCTCCCCTATTTTTTGAGGACTGAGTCCTTCTAGATAGCACCCACGTGAAAGAGGCCTGGTATTGACAATTTAGCCAATTTCTGCTCTAGGCAAGAGGCAAAAGAGCGTGTAAGTGGTTCATGGTCTGGTTCATGTGGATTTGGGTTTGGTTTGGGATCAAGCGTGATTGTAGTCCCAGGCATGGATTTGTTACAGGGCAACCCCACAAGGAATGGAATGGGCAGGTGTGAGCACTTGCCTGCACGCTTAAAAAACCTTAGAATGAGACTCAAGTGCAGACACACACGGAAAGGTTAATAAAAGGCTTATTTACAAGAGAAATGAAAAGTTGGGGAACCCAGAGAGGTAACGAGAAAGGGATTAATTGGTCAGTGTGTCCTACCAGCAATGCTGTCTGAGGCGGAGTCCTGCGTGCACTTTTGCTGAAGGCCGCAAAACCAAGAGCGCAGGCCCACAGGTGTTGGGTTTTATCCCAAGCATGGCTGCTCAACTCCACCCTTCGCTCTCACCAATCCCTCCTTCAGGAAGTCAAGAGTCATGGCATGATGGGAGTTGCAGTCCTCAGCGCCTACGGTCTCTGGCATGGAGGTGAGGGTAGAATCCATAAAACATCAGTGGGTGGAGTTCATTCAGGACATACTGTTCTCCCAACAAATTGTCCGGATGGTGCCTCCTCCGCCGGGTTTCTGCAATGGCACCAGGCCATGAGGTAGCACCTGGAGAGTCCTGACTGGCACTGGTCATTGCAGCCTGCAGTTTTCACGGAAGAGGGGTATTCAAATTGTGTGAAGAGCTAAATTCAGAGACATAACTCATTACTTGCAGCCTGAGGGTGGAGTGGGGACATAGCCCCGGGGAGCGATCACAATATGGTTTGGGTTCGCTGTTAAGCGTTCCTGTGACTTTTCTATTCCTCTTTACCAGACCTCCATGCTTATTTTTATGGATGTTGTAAATCCTGTCTCAGAACACTTTGATGGCCTCCAAGGTTGACATGAAATTTATGGCTCTTCTTTGCTAATGATAATCAAAGTATATAGGTGACAACCTGCATTCTCGTCTGGATCTTCTAATCGCTCTACAATTTCTCTGATCGTGATTTTAGTTTATTTATAGCTTTCTGTTGTATGGCATATTTTTGTTGTGAATTGCCTTAACTACTTTGTGGATATAAATGGGTTATGAATAAGTAAAAGCATTCATATAAACATTAAAAAAAAAAGAATTGACAAGCTTGAGATGACACCATAGGAGGACACAGGATGTGTGCTTGATTTTCTACTAACAGCTCTTTTCCCTCAACCACACTAAACAACAACTAAAAAAGGTGTTTAAATTTTTAACAGAAACAACACAAAAAGGAAGCATAACTGATACTCTTGTTAGCCACAGAAAATCAAAAGTCCTAATTTGAAGAGAATACATTAATACTGATTTTGGAAGATAGATGTTGGAATCAGCATTTGAAAGAACAGGACTATTTACTTCCTTTTTGCCAAAGGCTATGAAGAAAAATATTTTTGTTCACAGAAGCACTCATTATATTTTCAGCTTCACACAATGGGGCAGAAAATGCCAGAGCATTATGTTTATACTACATATATCCTAAACCATTTAGATGATATTTTGGACACCCCAGAAGCGTTGAGAAACTAGAAATTATAGAATGAGGTTACAAGTCAAGTGTCTTTACTTACCTGTCTCCCCTTCTGAACAACATTCTCCATGAAGATCTGACCTTGGCTGCACAATTTCTTGTTGTATTCCTGGGACTGAGCGTGGGCCTTCTCATGGCAGGCCCCCAAAACTACCTGCGTAAAAAATGACTGTCTTCTCTCTTCCTGTGAGAGGACTTGGCTGTGCACTGAGGGCCAGGTCATTGCTGACTCCATGAAATCTTCACCAATTCCAGCTTGTGCTGTTACTTAAGGCTGGAATTTGGCTGTTGCTTATGGGCGGAGTTCTTAAAATGCAAATGGGGTTCAGAAAATCTTTGGGTCCACTGAATATGTATGTAAAGATTTATGTGTTGGGCACATTTTCAGACGTGAGCATTTATTACTTTCAGCAGAGAGTCAATCGTACAAGTGATCTCAAAAGATCAAGGACATTCAGTGCAAGGTATTGTTTAACAAGTGCCTTTGGGTAGGACATGCTCACTAAGTGTGGTTGTAGTTTAATGGATGGGATTCTGCATTTCCCAGTCAGAGATAACTGAGTTAGCGGTATGATCTAGCTTAGGATTACAATCCTTTTAAACCTCAACTTCTTCACCTGTGAAATGGGAACAATATTGTCTAACAGAATATTGTTAAAATTAAATGAGGTAAAATATACTTGACCCATAGCAAGGACTTAGTCAATGTTGTTATTGTTCTGTTAGAATCAATTTAATTGTACTTTAGAGTCCATCATTACAGATTTCCATTATAACAGTTTTTATCTTTCAAAATGAGATAAAATGTACAAAAAAACTTTAAAAAGATTATCCATTTTAATGAGCACCATAATTGAGTGGTTTTGGGTAATAGTGACAGGGAAAAAGGAAAAATAAAGGCAGGGGTTTACTGTCCTATCCAGGATCATAGAGGAAGCCAACCTGGCTGAAGGGGACCTAGTTTTCTTCAGTCTCCTCTCCCAACCTCATCCCAACACTGTGCACACACACAACACACTTTCAGAAATATCTCCTGGGAGTCAGTGGGAATCTTTCTGAGTTCTTTAAAATACAATTCTGAATTCAGTCTCTCTCTAACTCCCCTAAGTTAATTTTTGAAGAGAGTGTCATCAAGGGAAGAATTCCAAGAAGGAAGTAAGGGACAGTGGAATGAAGTGTCTAAATTTTTCTTTTTTGTTCTTTTATTTAGCATGTGCGTCCTTTTATTTAAAAGCAGAGTTGGAGATAATGTGGTGCAAAGTTATAATTGTGCTTAAATTTTTGTACTGCTGGGCTCCCCACGTGGCTCAGGAGGTTGAGTGTAGCATTGTGAAGCTGTCTGCAGTCTCTGCAGCGCCAGTTTGATCCCAGCCAGCCGGTGAGGGTCCCACATGGTGTGGCAGACCTCTCCTGTCTCGCCCGCTGCTCTCCTCAGCAGTGTATTTCATCAGTCTGCCTGTTCTGTTCCCTCTGGTGAATCCTCTCACCCTCCCACACATCTGGCTTGTACCCCGTTTCTTGTATAAATAAATCTTAAAAAAAAAAAAACAGTTTTGTACTGCAATGGGATATGGTGTTCATCTATTTCATCTAATATTCTAAAACAGAACATGAAAAGCCTGAGAAGGATGTGAGCTTTGGCTCAGGTCACACTGCAGCCTCCCATGTCCCACCCA